CCAAGAGACTAGCTTTGAATTTGATTGAATTCATCCAATCGACAGTTTGACGGTCATTCGGTTCTCTTGCCGTGAGAAATTCTGTGAAGTCCTGGGATGACTTTTGAAATATTATGCCTGTGTTAAGTCTGCAGTCTTGTAAAACAAAAGGGCCAAATTGGCACAGGCATAATATTTCAAAAGTCATCCCGGGACTTCACAGCTCGATGTAGAGAAGAGATCATTTAACACATAATTAATCCAACGGCTTTCGTTTTAAAACTGTTTTAGCGGTAAGTCCAATTTTCGGCCAAGAAAGTAGCTTCTCATATAGCTGAATGCATCCTGTCGATAATTTGACGGTTACTTAATTCTTTTGCTGTGAAAAACTGATTAAACTAATCCGAAGCAGGTTGTTGACGGTTTTTAAAAAAGCACTGAAAAATAAGCAAAGTTCCCTCTCAATTAGCATCTCTTACTCATAGAAGTACAGATCATAGCGACGAAGCATTGGTCAGGCAGGATCTCTGACACTAAACAACTTGCTTCACTTTCAAATAAATGACGTCTTTATTGCAGCGCAACATTCAATTTAAGTTGAGGGCCCACCCTCTGTGCGGCTTTGGTTGGCATACGTAGACACGTGACCAGCCGCAACCAGGGCACTTTCTCGAGGGAGGAAGAGAGAGGACCCTGGGAACGAGGTTGCTTATTCGTCGGGTAGCGAAAGTGAAAGCTGCAACGTCAGCGCATTCCATGGCTGACGTAATACCTTTTTTTGGCGTATTTATTATTTCCCTTCGAATCCAACGCTTTGATAAAACAAAAAGAAAATATATTTTACACACAAATAAAGAAAACAATATGCCTAACATTGTCCTTGCACTAATGTTTTAACAGCTTTTGGCGAGTAAACATCAGAGGTTGCATGATTCAACATTTGGCCGAGAGGAAGTTTGGGTCTGGTCACCGACAAAACTAAAGAAAAAACACTAAAAAAAAATAAATAAACAAGAAGATCTGTTAGATCTTATAACCGCGCTTTTAAAATTTAACTGTTTTCT